CACAGAACCCATGGGGGTGACCAAGGCCTTGCCAGGTGCCTCTCTGTGTCTTCACAGCTGGCCTTGTCCCCTGTGACCACTGTGGTTCAGAGGGGCGAGCACATGTGGGCGAGCACATGTCCAGGGCGCACACTGCAGGGGTCAGCAGCGACGGCCACCTCATAACTCTCCTGAAGACCACTGCCCAGCGCGGCCCTGCTGAGGCCAGGCATGGGGTCACTCCTGAGACCTCAGGGTTCTCCCCTAAACCTGCTGCGGGTCACAGCTGGTGGGCTGGGGCTGGCCCCTGTCCGAGGCCTGACAGGGTCTGTGGCTCTTGGCCCTGCCAGTCAGAGGCCCTCTCAGACGGGAGCTGCAYGGCCAGTTAGGGCTCGAGGATGACTATGAGCTGCTGCTTCTTGGTGACCCCGGTGTGGCCTCCAGGGTCTGTTCACTGCACTGCGGATCCCGATGATCACAGCCAGCACCGCACAGGCTGTGCGTCTGGCACCCTTTCCCGAGGACCACAGTGACTGCCAGCCGGCAGACGCTGAGACTCCCTAGCAGTGGGTCCCCCTGGCAGCGGCCAAAAGACCAGGCAGAAGTGGCACGGGGACCCCAGGGGTCCCATCTGTCCTTCCAGTCACTGGCATCCGTGGAAAAGGAGGGTCTGGGAGCCGCTCAGACCCTCGGCAGCTCCAGCCCCTGCCTCTGACTGGAGGGCGAGGCCCTGGTGCCGGAGGGGAGGCCAGAAAGAAGGAGGCTGCGAGGGCTGCCCGAGGCTGGTGGGGCCACCTGTCCCACAGCCCTGGGATCCGACTGACACCCTCAGCGCCAGAGCTCGGGACCCGTCAAGCAGTTTTCTGTCCCCTCCTGCCTGTGTCTCCTGAGAGCCGCGTGCACCCCGAGGGGTGGGCTGCCCGAGCTGATCATCTCCAAGTCCCYGCGCTTCTCCCTCCCCAGCCCTTTGTCTGGGGACAGCCTGAGTGTGTAAGTCTCATCATCGCGTCAGGAGGCTGTCACCAGCCTGCAGGCCCCCGTTGGCGGGCTGCACCTGGAAACCCGCGTCTGTGGAGCTATTTAACCTAATGGAGGCCAAGGCCACGGCCACCACCCGCTCAGGCTGCAGCAGAGTGGATGCTGAGGCGACCGGGGTGGGCTGCTCTGCGAGGGGYTGTGGTCCCTGGGACGGACGGCGAGGCCTGTCCCCCTCCTGGTTTCCCTCTTCCTATTCCAGAACACCGTGAGTCCCCARATCTGAGCGCCGTGGAGTCAACCTCAAGCCTTCGTATTCTGAAGTCTTCTCCCTACAGGTCCTCCGCCAGCTCTGGGGGGCTCCAGGGACAGCAGGTCACCACCTAAGCCTTCAAAATGCTTCCTTCTCTCAAGTCAAAGAGTTCCCTTCTGCCACCGCCACCCCTCGTCCAGGCTCGGAGGGCCCCGGGGCTGCAGGGGAGAGCCACGCCCACCCAGGGCCGGCAGGTCCACCTAAGACCTGCTTGTCCACGCTGACCATGTCAGACCCTGAGAACCAACCGGGTGGGGCAAGTCACCARCTGTCACCAACATGGCAGGCGCCCCTTGGCTGGGCTCCTGGCCTTTGGAGTGGTGGTCATTTTAAGTGTCATCATCTAAGCTCAGGGA